AATGTTGCTCTTTAACATGGTATTTTTATTTTGAATAACTATGATCGGTACTAGGTGCTTTTTTTTTTTTAATATTATTATTATTACTGTTTTTATTATCATTATTTTTAGATTTACTATTTTTGTTGTTTAATTCCTATATCAAATGTGGTCACAATTTCCACCAGTTAGCTGCTAAGTATTATTTAAGTACAGACAGTTGTTCAACAAAGAAGAATAGAGAAGGGGGGGAGTATAAACGTAGAAGTCTTTTTTTTTTTCCATCAGTTGTTTTTATTTTGCCTGTTGAACGATGATAACGATGATAATAATGGCTGAAAGTAATGAATTAGCAGTTATGATTTTTGAATGTAGTTTCACTGTATTTTAATGTCTGTCTTTGTTCAGGGAATTTTGATAGGCTGTTGTTGTTGTTGTTGTTGTTGTTGTTGTTTGGGATGACTTTTATCGGGTTGTATTTATTTAAGCAAAAAGTAGTGTTGACTTTATTGCTTCATAGTTAGATGCCTAGAGGGCCAAAAAGAAGAATATAATCTATGTTGTTGATGTTGTATTTGTATCTTTGATTGTTTTCTAATCAATTTCTTTTTTGAAGAGGCATATATCTGGTTGATTGTATTTATTTATTTGTTCATTCATACATTCATACATACATTCATTTATTCATTTACTGCTTTTTTTTTTCCCCCATTGCTGCTGCATCAACAAATCTGTTTTAATTTGATGCTGGAACTGAAAAAAAAAAAAGCTAAAATTTCTTCCAAATGTTAATTCTTCTAATTGTTTGCCAACTATTAATGGTTGTTATTAATTCAAAACATTGTGCAATGATTTTTGGCTAAAAAGTAAAAAAAAAAAAAAAAAAAATTGTTTAGATATGGTGTAACTTTAGTGCAGTCATCATATATCATCTATCTGAAATGCTGACGTTGGGTACTGCTGCTGCTGCTGCTGCTGCTGCTGCTGCTGCTGTTGTTGTTGTTGCTGTGAACACAGATCCAAAATGTATTTAGTACTGCTTTTGCTGTAGTTGATCAGTAACGGTTTTTTTTTTGCTTTTGCTTTCCATTGTTTAGTTATTTGGGAAGAGGAGAAAAAAAGCAAAGGATTTTTCTGTTGCTGTTGTTGTTATATAGAATTCCTGACAATAAAAAACGATTTTATTTTATTTTTTTATTCATGTTTTTTAAATTTGTTTCGTAACAGTCTTAAAAAAAAAAAAAAAAAGAAGAAAAATTTTGCACTTTTTTCTTTCACATTTTGCAATTTCTTTATTTTTATTTTTTTGTTCCGTTGTTTAATTGTTACTATTTTTGATATGATAATGGTTAGAAAAAAAAAAAAAAAAAGTTTCTTAACGTTTTTATAAATTATAATATTGCGATGGAAAGCACTGGAAAAAAAAAAAATTTGTAAAAATATATTCTTGAAAACAAAAATTTGATCAGAGTTAAAAGCGAGGGAATAATTATTAGCCCAGTAAAAATTTCAAATTTCCATTTTCATCTTTTTCTTAAACATTCTTTTTTCTTGCAATAATTTTCATTCAATTTAATTTTTAAATTTTATATTGTAGAGGAACTTTTTTTGAACAATTTACCTGCAAAAGGATTTGTAAGAAAACTGTTTAACGGACATTGTATGGATACTTTGATGATTGATCTTAAGAGTTCTTAACGTTGATGCAGCAAACGGTCGCAGTTTATCAGCGAAAATGTTGTGGTTCTAAATTTGAGCTTTTTACAATATAATTGGCTGATAAATAGTTTCAATAAAGTTGTTGTCACGATCTGTAATTTGAAGACAGAATTGTCGTTTAGAAAGTTTTTTCAACTAGTTTTGAACTGTTTGAAGAAGACGCATCTGCTCATTGTTCGAATGACTTTTCAAGATTTTTTGATCGAAGATTGTTCAGCAACTTTTTTTTTTTTCCCTGTATTTCTTCTTTCTATTTGTCATGCACAGTTTGAGAATTCAATATGTGAAAAGGACTTATCTTCGCTCTTTAACTAACCTCCACTTTTTTTTTTTTTCATAAATAATTCTGCGTTTGGGTATTTGTGAAAATC